TGACTTTGTGATGACAAGGAGCACGCGGTTGGTGTGACCGGTGAGTAGGGGATGCTCACTCCTTCATCACACCTCATCCCACCTCTGATGTTTTTGAGGTCGGTGTTTGCTCTGCTTCTATTGCTATCTGTTTTCGTCTGTCGTCGTTCGTCGTGCGTCGTGCATCGTTCGTCGTGCGTTAACATTTGAACATTTTTAACTTCTTCTCTGAAACCACTGAACCAATTTCAACCAAATTTGGCATATAGCATCTATGGGTAAAGGGGAACAAAAATTGTGAATTTCATGGTTCCTGCCCCCCTGGGGCTTGGGGGTGGGGCAAAAACCACTAAAAGTAGTGCAATCTTTAAAAATCTTCTTTACTCCTGGACATCAAGCAGTCAAACTGTTAGTGTGATTGTAATCAGCATTGAGTCCTCTACCAAAATTGTGAAATTCATGACCCCAGGGTCAGGGGTTCTAGTGCTAGGGCGGGGCTAAACAGGTTATATAGTGAAAATGCATTATTTCTTTGAAAGTCTTCTTCTCTGCTTCTGGGTATTAAATAAACTATCTAAGTACATAGTTATGATGAGCAAGAGTGCCTCTTCCAAAATTTTGAATTTTTTGGCCCCAGTGTCAGGGGTTCTGGTTTTAGGGCGGGGCCCTATAGATTATATAGTGAAAATGCAAAAATTCTTGGAAATTCTTCTTCTCTGTTCATAGGCATTGAATAAACTAACCAAGTGCATAGCTATGTTGAATGAGGCTGCCTCTTCCAAAATTGTGAATTTCATTGCCCCTTAGTTGGGGGTTCTGGTGTTAGGGCGGGGCTTTATTGATTATACAGTGAAAATGCATAAATTCTTTAAAACTCTTCTTTTCTGCACCTGAGTATTTAACCAAAGAACTATGTGCATAGTTATAAGGAGGAAGGATGCCTCTTTGAGATTTTTGAATTGCAGGGTCCCTGGGTTAGGGCTTCTTGTGTTAGTGCGGGGCTTTAATGTTCATATAGTGAAAATGCATGAATTCTTTGAAAATATTTTCCTTTGTTGTTGGGTGTAATGCCAGTGAGCTTAGTACCGGGTATATATTTATGACAAAAAAACATGCTTCTTCCAAAAATGGTTAATTTCCTGGCCCCTGGGACAGATCGTGGTACTTTGGGGGGGGGGGGTAACATAGTCTGAAATAATTGAAAGCTTTGAAATCTGCACTTTGATGTTAATCAACAGCAAGATGAAATAAAATTTTTAAAAATGTCCAAAATTTTGAAAGATGTGGCCCCAGGGTCAGTGGTTCCTGTGGTATGGGGAGCTCAACTGTGGACCCGCCCTAACACAAGAAGCCCTGACCCAGGGGCCCTGAAATTCACTAAAAGTGGAAATGCATTTTCTCTTTGTTACTCTGATCTACCTCTGGGTATTTAGTAACCAAAATAAACATGCTGAGTGTATAATTATGATAAGCAATGGTGCCTCTTTCAAAATTGAGAACTCATGGCCTCTACTGGCTCTAGTTTAAAACATGAATCAAATTCAATTGTTGGAAAGTTGTCGCATGATACTCAGGTGACCTATAAGGCCCATGGGCCTCTTGTGTAATGTTTAATGATTACTGAACCTAAAAACTGTTCGTTATCTCTATATATTTTATGTATAAGACTAGTAAACTATATAGAGGTACTTAAGGAAATAGGTATTCCAAAGCAAAATCTTTCGTAGCTGGTTTAAAATACCCTTCGCTGAATGTCAAGCGTGAGTAGTTTTTGTGTTTTGTAGAGGTCCAGTATATGAAGGATTGTTACAACATGAAAGAGGTCAGACGCGGACTGACATCTTGTGACCAATTGCTTCACCCCTTTGAAAATATAGACAAGACTGATGTATGCAAGTACGTAACGACAGGTCACAAGAATACTTTTCTTATTTGAAATAAAATTATATGTTAAAACAAACCAAGCAGATGAGAATAACACTTACAAATTCCACAAATTTTGTCATTTGATCTATAATTTTTTTTAATAATTTACTATAAGACTTCTTTTTAAAGTTTGGAGAAGGAATTCGTAGAATGTGTGGCAAAAGCTGTCGATGACTGTAATGATACCACCGTATCAATGTTCATGTATAATGTAACCAATGAACTGTTTGATTTCCTGTACAACACGGAAGACTGTGACACAGGTATGTGTTTTCTGGTAACTTTCACAAAGATTTTCTTCCCTTTGACCTTTTAAATAGATGATTCGAGTATTCTTGTGAGTGTATAATGTCTTGAATATGTTAATGACTATCTTTCAGAATCAGACAAAAGTGTCAAAGAACCAGAAGTTATGGTGACTGAAAAACCGACACCGGAACCGGAAACAGACGACGGAGCCGATAAAACAACACAACAACCAGTCGTGCCAGAAAAAAAGGCGGGAGACGACAAGAGAAATGCGGCTTCCAGAGTCCAAGGATTCCTTAATACCTTCCATATAGTTCTAATTGCTTATTTAATGGTTTTTCTGTCGTGATGTGCTTTATTGACAAAGTGTTTTGGAATAATTGTGAAAAATGTATGGAGTCAGTTTTCTACATTGATGTATGGTATAGACAAATTAATGGAGTAACGATAGTTATGTAGAACTCGATGCATCATCTCTTCTATGAATTTGGTAATGTTGACTTATATCTAACACAAAACTTGAGATCTCAGGAACCGTTCTTGTTTTATAGCTGCTTATAGATTGCAAAGGAATATTATATAAGTAATATAGTTTAATATATTGCATTTTCAATAACATCACCAATATGCTCTAATTTAATTCAAATGAAATTATTCCTAAAGATCTTCAAAGGTGTACATGATTATAAATATTATTTTATGTACAGAGCAAAGTTTCTCATAAGGCATAGAAATAAAATAGCCCTCTTTGCTTTAAAATGTTTTACATGGACGTGTCTGTGAAAAGAATATATTCCAAAAATATGTTTATTTGTGTTTTTCTAGATAGCTATAATATTTACTAAAAACTTTTTTCTAGAAAATGTATTTATGATTTATTAATTTTTTGAAAATAAATCTCGCTTTTCAATAGGTAAATTCGATTGATCAATCAAAATGGTTTCACAAGAATTTACTATTATTTCATATATGATATTTTTTTTCTTCTAGAAATTGATTTCAAGATTTAGTACTGCCTATACTGAAATAAATCTTGCTCTTTTAATAATTAAAATCGATTGATTTACAGATCAAGTGAAAGATAGAGAGTGAGAGAAAGAGGTTGTTCCTTTAAATGTTTTTTTGATAATTAAAATTTAAATTGGTAATTTAAAGCCACATATATTAGCAAATCATGTTTTAATTATATGCATATGTTCTTTCCTTAAAGGCCATTTTGTGTCTAAAAGGTTGTCATTTTGAAAAATTATATTAACTTTACACCTTTAGTGCTTAATCAACCATGCAAGCCTGTATTCTTATTTAATCTTTTTTTTTTGTAAAAGATAATGATAAGAAAGGACCTTATTCATACATTTATGATTATTTTACCATCAACGTCATCCATTTTTGTATCAGTAATCAATTTTATTGAAAAACAAATCTTCTTGTTAGTTTCTGATTTAATCAATAATGAATGAAATAATCATTTTTTTTAAATCTGTTTATGTGTGACTGTGTCTAAAATTCCTATCATTTTGGAAGTGCCTTGAGTGGCTGAAGTTAAATGTAAATAAGCATATGATGCAGTAAAGGAAAGATACTAGATGTGTTAGAAAATTTCATTGTCACACACATTCTTTATGAAGTGAATGGTATGTGTATTTTGTGATGTTTATTGTGCTTGTATAATTTGAGTGCTGAAGAGTTCCTTTTCTTCTTGTAGTTATTATATAACTGATGGATCCTAGTTATTTTTTTACCAGTAGTTATAGAAATTCTCATCCATCGCAACCGTGTGTATAAACCCGTTATATAATGTCATAAAACCTGTCTTGTTTGGCAAAATCTATGCAACTTTTCCCATGGAATGATTATTATAATTAAGTTTCCTCTTTAATGCATTTGAACATGACAATAAATTTTGTAACATTTATATTTCATTCTGTTATATTTATAAATCACCATAATTTATACGAAAATCTTTCGATGTTTTCGTGCATTCAAAAGGAGCCAGAGAAGATCGAATTCAGTAAACGGAATAATAGCAATAATTGGAAGTTACTTCAGAGGGATGGTAAGATAAGGCCCGGGGGGATAAGTGGGGAGGGTTGTGAACATATCTGGCTCGTTGTTTCCCTGCCCAGCCAGCAGATAAGTTGGTGGGCACTTTGTTGGGTAGACAGGTTGTCTACAAAGTATCCAACCTATGGCAATGTTGAACAAAAGTAAAGTAAAAAGTCAAGTAAGAAGTTTTTCGATTGGGGTCTTTGCCAAGCCTGCAGGCCTGGGGCCCCCTCCACCTCTTGTAACAGGAGGGGAGGCTTAGTACTGGAGTACTTGGGTGTTAAAGTACTGCTGACCAGAAGCAATCCCTGGAAACAGGGTATACAGATGTGCTCGCAACTCTCCCGGGCCCAAATGTCTAGTACCCAAATTTGGGATCCCAGGCACCTGTGACCAACACAGGGCCACTGGTTTTGCCCGGTACTCTTTAGTCGGTATGCCAGTTGTCCTTCCGGACCCTATTCATTATTGTACATATATGCAATGCGGCCTATTAATGCCAACTTCCTTTTTGTCCATCACAGTTATCAATAACACAAGTTTGTACATGTATGTTTTTTCAAGTCTTTAATAAATTCAATGAAAACCATCCAACTGTTGTCTATTGCAAAGTTAACACCAAGGAAAAGGAATAGTGATCTTATGAGCATAAGGAATCAAAGAGCAATGCATGTCAGGTCCTGCAGGGCAGTGATCACCTGACTGTTCAATTAAAGAGTTTAATAAACATACGTTTTGATGTTTAAGACTTTGCTGTGATTTCAAATTTCCTAAAAATTTCTTGGATTTTTGAGTAGTCACATCTGATTCACATCACTTCTATCTCGAACATCTTTAGTACTCTCGAAGTTTCTTTTTCACTACTGTTTGAAAGAGAGACTTGGAAAACATTTACTTGAACCTAATTGTTTATTCAAATATAAGTGTAGTTTGTCGCTTCTCTTGTTCTCTTTTAATCCTTCAGTTTTGCACAACTATTCTTTCTGGCTTAGGTTTAGATTGTCAAATTAATGGTTTTCTGAGTTTAAAGATGTTTCCATTATTATTATGGTTCCATCAAATCGGGGTTGTTCAGACTTTAAAACAATGATATAATGGTTATCGCGTTTCACTACTTGTAAAATACTGTATACAGGGTTATTTTCGTCCTGTGTTATTATCGCCCCTTTACACTTGAAAAAAATTTGTTCTGTTTTAAATTCGCCCAGTCATAGTTTTGTTTAAGAAATCATACTGTATTCTTTGAATTCGCCCCGTTTTAAATTCGCCCAAAGAAGGATGGGGCGAAAGGGGCGAAAATAAAACGGGAGCAAAAATTTCCCCGTATACAGTATGTAATTACTCACTTTATGGCTTTAGAATAACTTCTTCTTGATTGTAGTTATGAGCTAAATGGTTCCTCCAATATAAATTGTAAATAGGAAAACACGTAAGCTCTGGAATCACTAAAGGTAGACTCGATACCTTATTTGTTTATTTTCACCAATATTAATATAAGTAATTTATCATTTCCATGTAAGTGAATTATTTGCCATAAATATTAAAACTGTATAAGAAATATTTTTTCAGTATCTTTGAAAATCCTATTTGAAAAAAAAAATTGACGGAAAAATCATTTCTTGATATTGCGAACTCACATGAATTGTTGATATAATGACTATTAATGGTAATAAATGGAGTTAGATTTACAGAAACAAAGATATTTTGAAGCATATTAGCCAGCAGTCGACTTAAAGATAGGCCGTATTTGTGAAATGCTGACTTAAAACGAATTTTTAGATAGTAGACTCTTGGCGGCGATGTAAGTCAACTTTTTTGCCAGTAGACTGGCTTCCTCTGTAATTTATTGTACTCAGATAATACTATTGCTTACGCAGATCATATAAAATCTGAAGTCACCTGGTTTTATTTGCAACTGACGTTAATAGGTGGTAGAAATACACATCCAGTGTATACATGTTGTATGTAAGCAAAAAAAAACTAACGTAGATTTTTCTTTTCTAATTCCATTTAAGGGAATGATCTGCAGTAAAGAGTACAAACGTGTGAGAAATATTTTTATAGTGTCTTTATATATTATTATAAAGTAAAAATAATTCGTATCTGTCAACCTTACATTTTAAGAGAAAATCGTTTTGATATTGCGCTTTAACTGCGGTTATAATAATCATTAAGGGTGTAAATGAACAGCTGACTGCGACATAACCGGATTGATATTAGGGATATTCAATTTTTAAAAAAAATTATCAGTAGTAATACCATCATCTCAGACCACATTCCAAAAGACACATTGACAGGAACATTACTGATTTAGATATCATCATGCCATTAAAACATTTTTATGTGCATTGTAAGTGGACAGGATTTCCCACATTTACAGCTATCAAGGGATACACAGCAGGTCTCTCCTGACAGAGCCTGTTCATAAGCTATAAAGCATTGAAATGTACAACAAAGTCCAGAGAAAATGTTCTCCAGTGGAGTATCTGATTCTAATGAAATTTGACAGATATTACCAGCACTAACTCCGTATGAAATCTACATCAATGGCGACCATGTTAACATTTTTCTCGAAATTACATTTATTGAAATTAATCTTCAAAATCTATTGATTCTAATTTAATTTTGGTACGTGGAATATATAGAGATAACGAAAAGCTCAAAAGTCAATGAAACAATACAAAATTGGAGTAGAGCAAACACCCCCCAAAACATCAGAGGTGGGATCTTTATGTATCAGATCCGTGTTAAAATCGCGTATTAAAAGATTGAGGGGCAATATGAAAACCATCTATTTTTCTGTATTCAGTAATCCAGAAGTGAAAAAAGAATTAGATAGATTACATGATCAGTACGTACTGGTCCCTGCTGACAAAGCAAGTAATAACATTGTCTTTGTTTGTAAGGCTCATTATATAAATTGTATTTTAGAAGAACTTGGATTTAATCCTACAAGTGGTAACCCAACTTATACTCATAGTTCCCTTTCTAAGGGAGAAATTCTTCAAAATCATATGCCAGTTTTGAATATTTTTAATATCCCGAAAAACCAAAATGATTTTGAACAACCATTAATATATTGGATTCCAAAAGTTCATAAGAATGCTTACAAACAAAGATACATCGCAGGTTCCTGTAAATGTTCAACCAAACTTATTTCTTTACTCCTCACTAAGATATTGATAGTGGTGAAGGAAAAACTTCAAGAGTATTGTGCAAAAATATATTCAAGAAGTGGTGTGAATCAGATGTGGATACCTAAAAAATTCCAAAGAAAAGAACTTTTGGACAATTTGAAATAACAAAATTTTACCAAAATCAGCAGCTTAAAAACATACAACTTTTCAGCTTTATACAAAACTATTTCCCATGAAAAATAAAAGTCCAGGCTTTTTGATATCATTGGCAGCTGCTTTTTCAATAAAAATGGAACTCGTAAATTTACTTACCTGGTCATTGGTCATTTGCAAAATTATTTTGTTAAAACATATTCTGATTGCACTCACAAGTATTCTGAAGTTGACATCAAAAAGATGCTTGAGTTTCTGATAGACAATATCTACAGAGTGTATGTAGTTTTTAGAGACCAGGTTTTCCAACAATCTATTGGAATTCCCATGGGTACCAATTGCGCCCCGTTATTAGCAGACCTATTTTTGTATTCATATGAAGCAGAAATCTTATGCGTGAATAAAAGACAACACTTGCTGTGGCCTTCAACTCGACATTTAGATATATCGACGACGTATTGTCAATTAACAATGGTAATTTCCATTCTATGTCTATACGATATATCCTGGTGAGATGGAGATAAAAGATACCACAGAGTTTGACACATCTATTTCATACATGGATATTTTACTTGAAAAAGACGTTAATGGTAATCTAACAACCAAACTCTATGATAAACATGATGACTTTAACTTTTCTATCGTCAACTTCCCTTACTTATGCAGCAATATACCTTCATCACCTGCATACCGAGTGTATATGTCTCAGTTGATTCAATACGCAAGAGCATGCTCTACGTATGAACAATTTCTAAAACGAGGTAAATTAGTGACAAACAAGTTGATGAAACAGGAATATCAGCAGTCTTGTTTAAAGTCATCATTTCGTAAGTTCTTTGGTCGATACAATGACCTTGTCAGCAAATTCAATTTCTCATTGAGTCAAATGCTGACTGACTATTTTCATACTTATTGTTAATCCATTAAAATTGAAAAGCAAAGAAAAAAAAACTAGATAGATACATGCATGTGTTGTTATATTTACTACTTATATTAAACAGCTAGAGTAAAGGGCGTAAAGATATTTTTGACCCCTACCCCCTTTCAATAGTGGTGGATTGGGATACTTGCCCCCTTTAACTACATGTATGCCTATGATCCTACTGATGATGACTCCCAATTTTAATCACTATAGGAAATGTTTAATGAAAGGCACCCCCCCATCCTTTGCCGTTACAGTTAAGGGAAATAAAGGAAATGTATTATTGCATTAAATAAAATTTGGTGCTAGCTGAAGGTGTGCTTTCATTGCTAAAAAATATCATATACCAATAATACAAGCAATGATATTTCAATAAATATTTTTTACACACCTGGAGCAAGCCCTTGTGCACCAAGATTCATTTTTTAACTTCATAAAAAGATTGCCCATGAGGAAAACTTAAAGTGTGGTAAAAATTGTTAATCATGCTAGTTTGAACATCTAACCGTCTAAAGTATAAGTCACATTATCCAACGATGGGGTATACGATGAGAAACCGATGCGTTTTTTGATGAAAATGGCGTGGTTGCCGGCCGGGCACCACTAGTGATCGGACGGTGACTGAGTCTTTTTTGCGAATCGGTGGGGTCATCGGTA